TCAGTTACTGGGGGGAAGGGAAACTCCCCTCTTGGACCCCCCCACCCTGCACCCGCACCAGAGAACAAGGGGAGACTAAGGCTGAGAGCTGCCCAGGAGCCAAGGCCAGTCCAATCCAAGTGAGGAGGAGGAAGAGACACAGCCAGGAGGGAGGGACAAGGCAGCTGTCCTGGAGGGGAGAGGAGTAGAGACCGGTGCTTGGAACCACATTGGATGGGATTGAAAAGAAGATCTCGGGGAGGGTTACATGGCTGGGGCAGGGGAGTGGAGCAGGAGGAAGCCTGGTGAGAAGCGCAGCCGGGAAGGTAACTCCAGGACCTCCCTCCTGGGCTGTTTTCTAATGGACCCCTGCCCCCCGCTCTCAGGCACTGGGGGGCGCTCTCCACTCAGGGGTGTTTGCTTTCCACGGCCCTTTGGGGAACGCTGCATGAGGGGCCCCCCAATATTTGGATGCCAATATCTGAACGGCATCGTGACGCGGATTCCCCTCCCTTTGGGCTCTTGCTGATCCTGCACCGTTGGCGTTTGACACGTTGGCTGTGTCTAGACTGCATCCCTTTTCCATAAAAGGAATGCAAATTAGACACATCGCAATTGCAAATGAAGTGGGGATTTAAATCCGCCTCCGCTTCATTTGCATAAACATGGCTGCTGCTTTTTTCCGGCTCGGAGCTTTGCCAGAAAAAAGCGCCAGTCTAGACAGGGATCTTTCGGAAAATAAAGCTTTGACACGTTGGCTGTGTCTAGACTGCATCCCTTTTCCATAAAAGGAATGCAAATTAGACACATCGCAATTGCAAATGAAGTGGGGATTTAAATCCGCCTCCGCTTCATTTGCATAAACATGGCTGCTGCTTTTTTCCGGCTCGGAGCTTTGCCAGAAAAAAGCGCCAGTCTAGACAGGGATCTTTCGGAAAATAAAGCCATTTCCGAAAGATCCCTTATTCCTCTTTAAAAAAGTGCAGTCTAGACACAGCCAAACGCTGCGGCTGTGGCTGGGC